AAAAACACATATCTATCATATAAGTCACAAATCTGCTGTTTCTCATTAGCCATCGTTTTGCACAGAATATGAGATAGGGCTTCACACAAATTTGTCACACAAACAAGATGTGGCGTCTTCAGAACAATTGTCCACTGGTGGTGCAATACGCTGTACAAACACTTTAGACAAAGGTATACATTCTTTTTCCCAATTAAAATTCAGTCTCCAGAGCATTGAAAATGGGGTAGTTTCTTTAGGTTGTTTTATCTATAACATTAATAGAAATGTACAACTGAAAGTTTTTCCCGAACTTTGTAATTTTTGAGATAATTACAAAAACCGTATTTTTTAACTTTGCCTATAAACCTGGCAGTGGAGCCAGGATTTTTTAAAAATCAGAGTGAGGTCAGATCGTCTTCTTTTGAACCAAATAATATTGTTTGAAAAATCGAATAATTGTTTGAACAAATTTGAGCAGCACTTCGAATGGGTCAATTTTTTATTGTAGTATTTTATCACAACATTTTATCGGTTTACAGCGTCTGGTAGCTAATAGGGAAATCGAAAAACATTTTTGTTGTTCAATAAATGCATAATTATTTTCTGCAAGTACGGTCTGTTCTAACCACTCAAGTTATCGTACATTGGTATCGTTACAGCTCACAACCGTTAATGTTCCATTAACGTGTATTTGTTTCTTTCTTTAATTTTTTTTCATTATAATTTAATTACGTTTAATTAGAATATGACAACCTCCAAGCAACGCACGTGGAAACAGAACAAAAGCTTCAGCAAATGATAAAAGAAAATGCTTCATTAAAAATTGAAAATTCGTCTTTGAAATCAAAATGTGCAATGTTCACTCAGCTTCAAGAAGAAAATTCAGACCTTCAAAACAGCATTTTAAAATGCGAATCGGAATTGAAAGCTTGCTTAGACGAGAAAAATGCTATACTGCTAAAATATGCCTTAAAAGTTATTGAAAATACTCGCAGTAAGTAATGTTTTTTAAATTATAATTATTGATATGAAATCAATTATTTTGTCACCCTGAAACCTAGGTAGTTGTGCAATTTTTACGTAGTTTTGATTTTGTAGATGAATTGAGTGCCTCGCAATTGTCTATTGCCAATTTGAAAGACACGTTAATTAAATACCAGTTGGAGTACTATATAAGATGCTAAGGATAAGGATCTACATAAGATGCATAATCTAATCCAAGATTTGAAAGGTATAGTTTCGTTATTCTTTGTTCCCTCGAGACGGGGGCATTTTGCGTATAATTGTACCCAAATTTGGTCGTTCGTTTGCTAAATGATCAAGAACAAATGTCACGTCAAACCATTTTCTCACTAACCACTCAACATTAGACACACACTGACTACTTACCACTTTCACATAGTTTTATTGGCAATACACACAGTAAACTTCATATTTCATATCATATCAATAAAAATTAAATATTCATATTTTTTAATCGACACAGTCCCAAGAACTCTTAACGTACAACGCGATTTTGATACCTGAAAATATGAAAAAATGGCTCTGAGGTAGAAAAACTCTGTGCTTGTTTGTTAAATTTGTTATAATTTTTTAATTTCCCTTGGCGTAATTTTTCGAGCGGGCCAGTTTTTTGACTTGGGATTTTAATAATAAAAGTTTTAGTTTTATCAGCTTTCGTTTTACAATAGTAGATTTTCTGCATCAACTTTGGATTAAAATACTGTGCATGAATATGAATAACGATTTAAAACTTTTACTAAAATGTTCTAGTAACATTTGAACAAAACAACAAAAATAATACATAACTGTTTGAAGAATGACAAACCGTTTTTAAAAACTACTTTTACTACTAAATAATTGTTACAAGTTTACTTAAGCGTGGTTGTACTCTGACTGACTTTAACATTATTTTAATGGTATAAGCAAGATAGCTTCTTTATAAGATGGCTTCTTTATAAAATGATGATTGGCGGTATTCCTTAGCTGCTGATACAGCGGAATCTATGGGAACTGCCCACATAACTCATGCTATGTATTGATTGTAGGATAATCTGCAATTAATTTTTCCTTACTCTCTATAACTCAAAAAATTTATAATTACTTTCTGATTTTTTTTAGTGAGAATATGTGGTTTTATTATTTGGAATTGTACTGGATAAAACGCAACTTTAGTTTATATTCTATATGCCAAGTCATTGTCTAAATCTTAAATATGTTTTAAATTTGATGTTATGGTCAACGTTATGTTGATTTCAATTTTACTCTATGTACGAACATTTACCTCCGGTAATAACTGATATTCGCGGAAGAAGTATTAATGGCAGAAACTGATAGCTAATTCACAATGTATCGAATAATAAATTCAACATGACTAGAAGAAAACAGAAATTTGCGTTTTTTGCATTTTATATACGGAGGTCAATATATTATGTCGCTTTTCTTAATTGCTGATCTCTGACCATGGACAAATAAATGGGCGAAACCTAGGCAGTCGAAATATACTAAAAAAACTATAAGTTTATTATTTGATTCATTTAATCTAATATTAGTACATTATTTACAGGAATTCTAGGCTCATGTATCTTTTACAATCCAGTCTGGGAGGCAACTCAAAAACGCCTCATGATTGCCAACATATCGCCTTTCGTAGAATGTTTTCGAGAAAGTATACAGTCGTTAAGATTTGCAGCCAAAGTAAAAGAGGTGAAGACTGTGATTCAACGAAATAAAAGTATCCTGGAATAACTGTAGCAAAACTAAATCATTTTAGTTGCTGTATATTATTTAAAACGTAATTTGTTGTAGGATTGAGATAAAATATAATAAAAACAGCAACAAAAAATAGGTTGACATAGATTGTATTAAAAATGGCCAATGGCCACAAAATGGGTGTTTATCTTTCGAGCCACTGTTTGAGGTGTGTTTTCTATCTTTGTCTTTATCCTTCCTTATTTCTCTTTATCTTTATCCCGATCCTTCCGATCCTTATCCTTAGACCTCTCCTTATTTTTATCTTTGTCCTTAGTCGAAGACGAACTCGATTTATGGTCCCTATCCTTAGAACTCTTGTGCTCTCTGTCCTTCTTGTTGCTGGAACTAGATGATTTCTTCTCCTTATCGCCTTTTTGCTTGTCCTTATCGCGTTCTTTGCCTTTGCTGGACGATTTATGCGAACTACTGTGCCGCTCTTTGTCTGGAGTTGGAATGTTTGTCTTTGTCTTTATCTCGAACTTTCTCTTTACTGGACGACTTGTGATCTTTGCTGCGATGTTTATCTTTATCTCTATGTTTGTCCCGGTCTTTATATCTGCTTATCTTTTTGATCGGATTTGTACTTTGATCAGAATAGCCGTTTACTCCGTTCAATGGTGCCGCTGAATCGCGTCACCAAACTGTAACAATAATAACAGAAGTAAGCCTTTTTACTTGACTATAAAAAGGATTCAAAGTTATACTAATTAATTTCTAGTAATATCTAAAATTAAAGAAAAAAAGTAGAAATAATGTGACATCACAGTACGTTTATATTTGAACATTAGTTTGTACCATTTTTTAAAATAAATAAACAAAATACTAAAAACGCCTCAGCATTGAGCTCGTTACAATGTTTGCTTGAACTTGAACATAAACACCTCTTTTCTTCATTCATTGATAAGTAGAATGAACTTGGCAACGTTGGTACGGTTTGAGAGCGATCTACCGTTTCGTTTTCGTCTCGTGCTGTTATAGCCAATGTCGCCTACAGTAGTTACAAAAATCCCTAAAGAACACACAAGAATTCGCATTAAAAACTATGGTTTTACACACTATCCTTTCTGTTTTATATGAAATATCTGTAGTCAGTGGGGCCCATTTTTTTCCACATTCCTGATGGTTGCAAAGCCCCATCCTTTTATACGATTATTTGAAACAGGTCGTTCGGTTGGCCAGCCTGAGGTAACTAGATTTTCTTAAACCAACCGTCAGTCTTCATCTATGACACCAACGCATAAGTCACAGTGAATTAACCGTCGGTTTTGAATCAGAGATTTTGAAAAAAAAAACTCCGTAGTGCACGATCAGCAATGGGTAATGTAGCTCAAGATTTCTATGAAAAGTGGTTCGGCGAAGGTGTGGACACTTTGGCTACGTGTTTACCCAAAACGGCGGCGATTCTTAATAAGCCTATAGGAGAGAATGTAAAAAAGGTTTGTACGCATAGAAATAGAGCTTTTATGGAAATTTTTG